TTAAATATTTTATAAACAAATGAGATTATTTTACTCGATATATATATATAAAAAGTGCCTTTGTAAAATTATGCATCAGAATATATACATATATAAACGCGCGTAAGAGGAAAATCTGACAGTAGATGCATTCACGTTTATATAAGGGGAAGAAGAAACTCGTTTAGAACCGTTGCTTTCAGGTTTTGAGGATATACTGGTGCGCTTTTCAAAGGAAATGTAATTTATTATAAGCCCAGGAAAGTTGTGCTTTTTTTTGTTGTATTGTTTCCTTAAGTCATTGCGGATATTATAAATGACGAGCTGTTTCATTACTCTAATATATATTACAATTATTTTTTTATTCAACTATTATAAAATATGTGAAATAAATTATTTTTTAGATTATTTCTTTGGAAATAATCTTTTTTAGATTATTTCTTAAATTAATTTTGATTTTTGATATTTTCTACAAGTATGAAAAAAATAAATCTTACTCATCTCTAAATTCGAATCAGTAAAACTAAAAATGTTTACTAATTTAAATTAGTGATTGTCTTTCTGAATTTAAATTAGTAAATTTGATACTAACAAATTAGTAGAAATTACTATTTATTAGTAAAATTTACTAATTGTAAAACCAAATTAGTAAATAAATAATTTCTTCGATTGACTTTTCATCAATTAAATTCTCTTGGAATGAAGGTTCAATTGTATTATTTTTAAAATTATTTACTGACCCAAATATTAGCAAGAAAGAAAACAAAATTTAAAAAATTTTTTTAAACTGAAATATAGAAAAATTTACAATTTTTCATTTTTTTCTTTTGAACGTGATTAAAATTTAAAACATTTAAATAGAAATGAGACACTCGTTAGCGCAGTGATTTCTCTTTCCAGATAAGTAAAAGTATTTAAAAAAATATTTTTCTATTTGAGGCGAATGTATAATAAAAAACGTTCCTTTTGCAGAAAACATTCACTTTTTCATACATATATTTATATATATTTTTTTATTTCTCTTCTTTTCAATAATTTCTGCATCTTGAACGTCAATGTATATTGTTTCGAGTGTTTTTTTTCAACTTTCTGGTTCCCACATTTATACAGATTTTCCTCTGGATTATGCAATAGAATGGAAATTTAAAATCACTCTTCCAGAAATGAGTCTCGAGATTATTTTTTTTTATTTAAAAATACACGTATTTTAAGAATGATTTAAAAATGAATTACAAAAAGTTTAATTTTTTTAAACTTGGAAATATAATACCATATCCATAAAGGTTTCATCAAAATTGAACAATGTCAGCCTTTGGGATGTGTAAATTCTAAATTCATTTTCGAGAAATTAAATTTGAAGTTATTATATATATATTGTGTGTACTGGAACTAGTCGACAGTACAGACAAACTGAATGAAATTACCGTGAACTGAACAAGACAAACTTCTAAATCATTTAAATTTTACTCCTCTCTGCGTGTGGGTATATTTCTCTATTATTTAAATATTTCAATTAAGGGGGATTTAATTTAATTATAATTAATTCACAATGATGGAAAGAAGATATATAATAATTGACGATCTTCTTCTTTTTATTCAATTCGTATGAGAACAAGGTGCTAAAAGCTAATTTGACCCTAATTGATTACCTTGACCCTACCTGACCTACCTTGACTGTATCTAAACTACCGTAGATCGTGGCTTTTATGGTGGAGTGCAATTTTTATTTTATATTTCGTGTTTCATTAATTCCTGACAATTTTCAAATAATGCAATTTTTAGTTTTCGAGAAAAAATTTTATTTATAGTTATACATTTTTGTCGTAAAGTTTGAATAATTTATATAGATTTTTAAATAATATTTTATGAATTTTTTAAACGAATAACCTTCGAATATGAAATTTTAAGAGTAATTTGTAACAAAGCTGCTTCAGAAGTGGAGAAAAATATTGTAAAACTGCCCTGATAGCATTTTTACTTTGATTTTGATTTTCGCTTTCACTTTGACAAATTTCTATTTTCGCTTTCGTTATCACTTTCATTTGGACAAATTTTTATTTTTACATTCACTTTCATTTCTTTTTACTCTCATTTTGACAGATTTTTATTTTCACATTCATTTCCATTTTAAAAAATTTTTATTTTCACATTCATTTTCACTTTTATATTCACTTTCATTTCTTTTTACTTTCATTTTGACAGATTTTTATTTTCACATTCATTTCCATTTTAAAAAATTGTTATTTTCACATTCATTTTCACTTTGATAAATTTTTATTTTCAAATTCATTTTCACTTTCATTTTTTTTACTGTCACTTTCAATTTACTCTTCACTTTAAAAAAAATTTTTATTATCTAATTCACATTCACTTCGTTAGATTTTTATTTTCACATTTATTTTCACTTTCATTTCTTTTTACTTTCATTTTGACAGATTTTTGTTTTCACATTCATTTTTATAAATTTTAATTTTCACATTCATTTTCATTTCTTTTTATTTTCACATTTATTTTCACTTTCACAAATTTTTCCTTTCAATTTCAATTTTCTTTTCACTTTAAAAAAATTTTTATTATCTAATTCACATTCACTTCGTTTGATTTTTATTTTTACTTTCTATCAAACTAGAAGTGAAAATAAAATTTCTTTCAACTGAAAATAAAAATAAAAGTGAAAATTGAAATAAAAATCTATCACAGTGAAAATAAAGGTGAAAAAAATCTATTGAAAGTGAAAGTAAAAATGAAAGTGAAAATAAAACTCTGTCAAAGTGAAAGTGAAAATAAAAGGGAAAATAAAAATCTGAAAGTCAAAATAAAATTAAAATTACATAATATTGAGCCTTGGGCTGTAAAGTACTAATTTATAAAATGAAAAATCGTTGAATAATTTAAATTAGTAAAAAATTTTATATACTAATTTTTATAACTATATTTTGCTAAATATTTAGTTTCTCAATTATTTATAGTTTTTCATTTTAAAAACTTTTTGAATTATTAATTATTAATTTTTTTAAATTTCAATTTAATTTAATTTAATTTAAAATATTTAAAAAATAAAAACAATAAAATAGTCAAATTCTTCTAAAAACTAGTGAAGATTTTTACAAATTCAAAATATTCAAATAGCTTTAAAAATTTTGTTTATAAATTTACTCTTTAAATATTTGGTTTAGTAAAAATATTTACTAAAATTTGAATTAGTGACTGACTTTTTGCTTTTGAATTAGTAAATTTGACTAATAAATAGTCATTTCTATTAATTTATTACTAAAATTTTCTAATTCAAAAGCAAAGTCATTCACTAATTCACTCTCTAATTTTGAATCAGTTAAAAATCATAGTTTTAACTGACAATCAGTGACTGACTTTTTCCTTCTAAATTATTGAATTTTACCAATAAATAGTAATTTCTACTAATTTATTATTAAAATTGACTAATTTCTGTTTTTGAATTAGTAAAATTTACTAATAAATAGTAATTTCTACTAATTTATTAGTAAATTTTACTAATAAATAGTAATTTCTACTAATTTATTAGTAAAATTTACTAATTCAAAAGCAGAAATTCAGTCACTAATTCAAATTAGTAAATATTTTTACTAAACCAAATTTACAGAGTTAATTTATAAACAAAATTTTTAAAAGCTAATTAAATATTTTGAATTAGTAAATTAATAGAAATTACTATTTATTAGTAAAATTCATTAATTCAAAAGCAAAAATTCAGTCACTGATTAAAATCAGTAAACATTTTAAGTAATTCAAATGCAGAGAGGATGACGTACAGAAATTTGAATAGAATTTTTATTTTTTAATAAAAAGAGAGATTTTAATTAAAATTTATTTTTAAAAGTAGATTTTTAATAAAAAGAGAATTTTTATATTAAAAATAATATTCTTTTTAAACTTAAACCTTGTAATTATAAAAAAGAAATTTAAACCGTATTCTTAATGGAATAAAATGAAAAAATTCTTTCTAAGTAATAGAAAAAAATTTTAATCAATAATTTTTTTAAATATTTTATATATTTTTTCAAAACAAAAAAATTTTATTCTTTATTTACAATTTAATTGAATGAATTTGTAATCCAGGTCAAAATTACTCACGGAAGGTTCAATTAAAAATGATATTAAAAATATAAATCTATTAAATAAAAATTCTGTTAAATGGAAATTAAAAAAAAAAAAAATCTACAAAAGAAATCAGAAAAAAATTCTATTCATAGTAAATTTAAGGATTTATTTGTGCGTACTATAATATAAAAAAGAGGATTTCGTTATAAGTGAAAGGGGAGATTTTTCTTTTAAAAAAGGGAGAAAGGTATTAAAAAAAAAAAATGGTGACGTGATATACGAAGTTTAGAATAATCTCCGTATATTGAATTTTATTTTTACCATTCACAATAAACAATTTTGAAACCTACATACCAATAAACAATACTTTTTTTAATTAAAAATCACAACTACAAAATTGTTTTATTTTTTAAATCTTTTCTTTTTTATTCCTTTGTCTCTTTTAATTTAATACTTCATTCTCTTAATTTGAGAAAAAAAAATACAATTTTCCTCTATATGATCAGTGCGATGAAACAAATTTAACGAAATTCCTCATTCGAAGGACAAAATACTAACACCACCACCACCGAGAAATATACAATAAGGTTTTTAAAAATTATTCATATCTTTCATTCAAAATTCAAAATTAGGATTTGATTTGTTTGAAAAAAAAATTTCCAAATAGAAAAACTCGGGGATGATTATGGGGAAAAAAAATAATTTTAATTGTATAAATATTTTTAATAAAGTCAACCCTGAATTTATATTCTTATATATTATATATATGTATATAGTAGGTGACTTTGGAATTTTGTTTCAACAAAATACGCGTTCTTGATGAAAAATATTATTTATGAACACCCTGTAGAGGACGTACGCGTGCCTGAGAGGGTTGGCGCATGTTGGTAGAGAATATAGTCGTGTTCTCGTATCGATCCCAAGCCAGAAAACTACCCCTAGAAAGGCGCAGTGTCCAAAAGACTATCGCGGTGTTCGTGGCACCCACGCGGATAAACAATTATACAATTTTTTTTTCTTGTCCGCCTCGAAAATTTGGTGAGTTTGTCAATTGTTTTTTTGACCCCCCCCAAAAAAAGACCTTATTAGAACAAAAAAAAAAAAATATATAATTATAGAAAAAAAAAACGTGAGAGAAAAAGATTTTCAAAAGCGTGAATATTCTCCGTGACATTGAATCAAGTGAGACTGATATTAAGGTAAGGTTTTTTATCAACTATTTTTCTTTTATTTTTAATCCAATATTTTTTTTTTTCCTTTTGTTCCATAATTCCTTCTTGCGAGGGGCAAAATTTCATCATTTCCGGTTTATGATTAAAAAATAAAAAGCAATTCGGAAATGAGAATTTTTTTTCGATATTCAAGAATCGTTGGTAATAAATTAGTGACTTTTTTTTTATTGTTCGGGAAATTTTTTCGGTATTAGCTTTTGGTATATTTTAGCTATTAGTTTATATATAGGTAAAGAAGGAAATTAAGTTTGATGTTTAATGTCTTAGCCAAAAGTATCGATATTCAATATGGCCAAGATGTCTCTGCTAAAATGCTTTTAAAAGTTATAGTCATAAGTATATAACTATATATATAATAACTATATTTGTAAATATATATATATATATATATATATATATATATATATATATATATATATATATATATATATATATATATATATATATATATATATATATATATATATATATATATATATATATATATATATATATATATATATATAGAGTGAAAGTTACAATTTAGAGATCTAATTTGAAAGCTCACTCTTGATTCTATTTTATACTGATCTCAGTAACTAATGTTTTTTTCACTGGAAACGAAGGGAGAGTTATTGAATTTCCTCAATGAGAAGTTGCAAAGCACGCTGTCCATGACCGTTAAAAAAAAATCTCCTTATAAATGTCACGATTTATATTTAATTTACCCGAAGCCTTAGCAATTTTCTATCTTAGAAACGTGATTGTCAAGATCACACCTTTCAAGTGTCTTTAAGTTATACCTTTGAAGAGCGTCTATTATAGTACCCTCCCCCCCCCTTCAAAAAAAACCATTTAATTTTGATCTTTAGTTTTTATTTTAAATTAAATTATATGGAAAAAAATCTTCATCTTCCGTTGGACCCACTAAAGTCACTTCGACCCGAACTAAGAATTATTTTAATTTTTTATTTATTTATTTTATTTTTAATGTCTTCATGTTTTAATTATAATAATAATAAATAAAGATAATTAAAGATGACCGAGAGATAAAATCATTATTTTATATTATAAGAATATTGTTACTGGAATTTCTTTAAAGTTATTTTCATCATTTCAATTCAATTATTATTTTCAAGAATTTTTAACTAAAATTCTTCTTTCAATCAATTATTTTAATAATTTTCGAGAGAAGTTCTTTGACAATTTTCAACACCATTTGTTTACAATATTCAATTTTACGAAATTTCAATTATTCGTAAATTCTTCAATTAAATATATATTGGAAAATAAAAATATAAAATTTTTTATTGACCTTCTCTGAAGCGACTTAAAGGATTCTTTTTATTTATTATTTCATAAAAAAATAGATTAAGAAAAAATAAAAAAATAATTATTTTCCTCTTTTCTTATAATTTATAGCGATGGATGTAAAAAAAAATTATTAATAGAAAATAAAAACTTCAAATAATTGCAAAAAAAAAAAAAATCCGCCATTAAACTTTTTCTAAAAAATTAATTTTAAGATTTAATTTTTTCTTAAAATTCACGCTCTATTGCTTTTAATATTCAATTATTGTCTAAAATTTTTAATGGAATTTTTTTTTAAATCAATTTTTATTAGAAAATTCTACTAGAATTCAATTATTTAAATATAAAAATAAATAATTTATTGACTAATTGAATGTCTCTTCAAATTTAATTCTCATAAAGAATTTTATCAACAAATTTTTAAATAATTAACTTCTTTGGACAAATTATAATAAAATTTTTTAGAATAATTACATTATTCGAGAAATTTGATTAAAATTGTATTAAATATAATTGAAATTCTGCGATGAGTTTTATTATTTATGAAAATAATTGAGTTCCTAAAAATAATTTTAATGTTTACGAAAATAATTGAATCTCTGTAAAAATTTTAATATTTATGAAAATAATTGAATTATTGCGAAGAAATTTGTAAATAATTGAATTTCTGTGAAATTTTTTTCATTTAATTTGATTTAATTTAATTCTTGAGAAAAATTTTATCAACATTTTTTTAAATAATTGAATTCTATGGAAAATTCTATTATGATCGTAGATATATTGAAAATCATTGAATTGAGGAAAATAATTTAAATTTTGCAACAATTTTATTAAATTTTTTGAAAATAATTGAATTTTGGAGAATAATTTTATTATTTAATAAAAATAATTGGAGTTTTGACGAAAATTTTTTAAATAATTAAATTTCTGTGAATAATTTTATTACTTTTTAAAATAATTGAATTTTTGCAATCATTTGTAAGTTCTCCAAAATTCATTTTTTTTAGTATATTCAACTAAAATCCTTTTTTAAATCCATTCCTTCTAATAATTAATTAAATATATGTTAAAAAAATTAAGTAATTTCAGAAGAATTTGAATTATTAAAATTTTTTTAAAATTTAAGTTCTTTAAAATTTCTAATTAAATTCATGCACAATTGAAACTTTATAAAATTTCAATTCATTTAATACAGAATTATTATCTAAAATTTTAACTGAAATTCATTATTAAATCAATTTTTATTAGAAAATTCTACGAGAGATCAATTATTAAAAAAAAAAAAATAAATAATTGAATAATTGCATGTTTCTAAAAATTCAATTCTCATAAAGAATTTTATCAATAAATTTTTAAATAATTAAATATTTGGACGAATTTTAATGAAATTTTTTAGAATAATTACATTTTTCGAGAAATTCGATTAAAATTGTATTAAACATATAATTGATAATTCTGCGATGAGTTTTATTATTTATGAAAATAATTGAGTTTCTAAAAAGAATTTTAGTATTTACGAAAATAATTGAATCTCTGTAAAAATTTTATTATTTATGAAAATAATTGAATTATTGCGAAGAGATTTATAAAAAAATTTGTAAATAATTGAATTTCTGTGAAATTTTCATTATTTTATGAAAATAGTTAAGCGTTTACGTAGAATTTTATCAAATTTTTTTTAAATAATTGAATTCTTTTGGAAAATTTTAATAAAATAATAAATATTGAAAATCATTTAATGCAGGAAAATTGTTGAAAATAATTGAAATTATGACAAGAATTGTATTAAAATTTTTGAAAATAATTGAATTTCGCAGAAGAATTTTAATATTTCTAAAGATAGTTAAAATTTTGACCAGAATTTTTAAAAATTTTTGAACGTAATTAAATTTTTGCGAAGAATTTTGTTACTTTTGAAAATAATTGAATTTCTGCGATCATTTGTAATTTCTTTAAAATTCTCCAAATTATATCGTACAATTTACTAACTTTTCGTCCTTTTTCTATCAAATTTGGGACTTTACGAATTTTTTTTTTTAAAAACGAAACTCTTAAGGCTAAAATTCAGTCAAAAATGGTTCCAATATACACGGTTTTAAACAAATAAGAATAATAAAAAAATAAGTTAAAAATAAGAATTGAAAGTAGGAGAGTATTTTTAAGCTTAAAGTTTAAATTAACTTTAGGACTTAAAATCATACTCTCAAAGCTGAAATTCAGTCAAAAATGATTCTAATTCTTAAAATAAGCACATAACATCAATAGATACAATTTATTTTTACAGTAAAAATAAAATATTCTTAAAATAAAACAAAATTATTCTGGTCAACACAAAAATAAATCTCTTAATATAAAAAAACAACATTCATATATAGAGAATAAGAAAAGTGCATGAATATTTTACATTAACTGCAAGAATAAATCCTAAAATAGAACCAAAAAAAAAAAAATAAAACACAATGTAAAAATAAAACTAAAAATTAAAATAATCTTAAATTTGGAGCATGGTGGCTTGTTTTCTCTGGCGGAGCATTGTTAATATGGTGCTTGCGCGACTCTTGTGCGTCTGAGAAAAGAGTTCGGATCAACAGCATTTATTCTTATTAAGTGAACACTTATTCTCATTACGTCTATTAGAAGGGCGACTAACCAGGTCATGACCTTTAGTTTGCCGATTCTATAATATCGTTCTTTTTTTTCAAATACTTTGAAAAAAATGCATAATAAATTTCTTTTTTTCTTTTTTGTTTGTTTGTATATGAAAACAAAAGCTTCCACTGTTATAAATTGTCCGTGAAGTTTTCATTTAAACCGATTAATAAGGAAATTTTATTGTCAACGACAGAGAGGATGTCAGCTTTTTTTAATGAATCTCTCTCTCTCTCTCTCTCTTTTTTTTCGACACAATATCAGCATCCATATAGTCAAATTTCACATTCCAGTCATTATACTGTATATATGTATATATAGAGATTATATATGCATAACCAATAACAGTGCTTCTCTTAATTTTAACCATTTTATTGCTTGTACGTGATCTATAAACCATTAACGTTTCCATACCATTTTCATTGAATATCTGTTAAATAAAATCAATTCAAGTTGAATTTTATTGACAAAAAAGGAGTTTCAGCAAATTTTGTTTGGGAATTCTCTTTTTTATTAGGGGTTCGCTTTGAATTGTGTACAAACATTTTAATTGAAGCGCGATTTTCATTATTATTATTATTATATTTTTTCTTTTTTATAGACTTTCTATTTTTTAAACATTCTTATATTATTATTATTATTTAATTTCAAATTTTAGATTGAAATTTACTGGATTAAAGGAAGAAAAGAAAATATAAAGATTTAAATTAAATTATCAGGTCAAATCAGGTCAAACTTGATCTTAAATTCTAAGTCGAAGAATAGGTGAAATAGATAATTATTAAATAGATAATTCAAAATTTAGGTCAAATTTTCAATTAAAGGAGCTTAATTATCATCATTATTATATAATTGTTAGTCTTACTATCATCATTATAATAATAATAATAACTATTATTATTATTGTACTTATATTATGGTAATTAAACAAAAGAATAATTACCCTTATTATTATTATTATTATTGTTTCTTTATTTTTATTTTATTTATTTAGTAATATACGGGACTATGCCTTTTCGTACACTTAGCATAATTACTATTATTATTATTATTATTATTATTATTATTATTTATCACTACTGTTTTATTATTATTTATTGATATATAGTAAATAAAAAAGTAATGAATCGTTTTCAGAAAGAAATCATTAAAGCCTGAAAACGTTGTAAAATCATTACTTGTTTGTGAGGTCAAAACAATTTAATTACTCGTCACTCTATTAGAACTTTTATCACCTGTTTTATTGTCTCATAAATTTGGACCACATTGTGTACATGTATATAAACATCCTAATAAATTTTTCTGTTTTAAAATTTCATTTTGAGATTTGAAAAATATGACGCTCCATGGTGAAAGGAACCTAGCAAACAAAATTTTAGGTTAGGTTTATGATCGTTTTACCAGCATTAGTGGAGCTTTTTTTAAATTTAAATGATTGTAGAAATTTAATTATTTTCAAAAGTAATAAAATTCTTCGCAGAAATTCAATTACGTTCAAAAATTTTCAAAAATTCTCTTCAAAATTTCAATTATCTTTAGAAATACTAAAAATCTTCCTTGGAATTCAATTATTTTCAAAAATTTTAATACAATTCTTGATAAAATTTCAATTATTTTCAAAAATTTTCCTCCATTAAATGATTTTCAATATTTATTAATTTAATAAAATTTTCCAAAAGAATTCAATTATTTTCAAAAAATTTGAGAAAATTCTACGCAAAAATTTAATTATTTTCATAAAATAATGAAACTTTTACAGGAATTCAATTATTATTTACAAATTTTTATAAATTTCTTCGCAATAATTCAATTATTTTCAAAAATAATAAAATTTTAACAGAGATTTAATTATTTTCGTAAATACTACAATTCTTTTTAGGAATTCAATTATTTTCATAAATAATAAAACTCATCGTAAAATTTTAATTATTTTTTAAAACAATTTTAATCAAATTTCTCGAAAAATGTAATTATTCTTAAAAATTTTATTAAAATTCGTCCACAGAATTTAATTATTTAAAAAGTTAATAAAATTCTTTGTGAGAATTGAATTTTTAGAAACATTCAAATATTAAATAAATTATTTATTTTTATATTTAAATAATTGAATTCTAGTAGAATTTTTCAATAAAAATTGATTTAAAAATGAATTTCAATTCAAATACTAGATAATAATTCTGTATTAAATGAATTGAAATTTTATTTAAAGTTTTAATTTTGCATGAATTTAATTAAAAATTTTAAAGAATTTAAATTTTTGACAAATTATAATATTTCTAATTTTTCTGAAATTACTTAAATTTTTTAATATATATTTAAATAATTATTACAAGGAATGAATTTATAAAAGAATTCTAGTTGAAGATACTAAAAAAATTGAATTTTGGAGAAGTTACAAATGATTGCAAAAATTCAATTATTTTAAAAAGTAATACAATTTTTCAGAGAAATTTAATTATTTTAAAAATTTTCGTCAAAATTCCAATTATTTTTCTTAAATAATAAAATTTTTCCCCCAAATTCAATTATTTTTCAAAAAATGTAAAAAAATTGTTGGCAAAATTTCAAAAATTTTCCTCAATTCAATGATTTTCGATATCTACGATCATAACATAATTTTCCAAAAGAATTTAATTATTTAAAAAAAATATTGATAAAATTCTTCTCAAGAATTCAATTATTTTCATAATATAATAAAAATTTCACAGGTTATATTTACAAATTTCACAATTATTTACAAATTTCTTCGCAATAATTCAACTTTTTTTATAAATAATAAAATTTTTACATAGTTTCAATATTATTTTCGTAAATACTAAAATTCTTTTTAGGAACTCAATTATTTTCATAAATAACAAAACTTATCGCAGAATTTCAATTATTTTTAATACAATTTTAATCAAATCTCTCGGAAAATGTAATTGTTCTTAAAAAATTTATTAAAAATCGTCATATGAATTCAATTATTTAAAAATATGTAGATGAAATTCTTTATTTGAATTTAATTATTCATTAAATTTTTATTTTTGTATTTAAATAATTGAATTCTCGTAGAATTTTCTAATAAAAATTGATTTAAAAATGAATTTTATTTAAAATTTCAGATTATAATTGACTATTAAAAGCATAGCGTGAATTTTTAGAAATAATTGAATTTTAACAAGGTTTCATATTAAAATCTTTGAAAATTTTAATTTTTCATACTTTTAACTAACAATTGTGTGTAGAAGAATTAATTTTTTTAAAACAGTTTATTTCAATTTTACTTGAAATTATTTTTTCGAGTTTTTATTTTCTATTATATGTTTAATTGAAGAATTTACGAATAATTGAAATTTCGTAAAATTGAATATTGTAAACAAATGGTGTTGAAAATTGTCAAAGAACTTTTTCGAAAATTATTAAAATTAATTTGATGTAAGAAGAATTTTAGTTAAAAATTTTTGAAAATAATAATTTAATTGAAATGATGAAAATAATTTTGAAGAAGTTCCAGTAACAATATTCTTATCTTATAATATAAAATAATGATTTTCTCACTCGGTGATTTTTAATTATTATAAAACATGAAGAAATCAATAACTCGTAGTCGAAGACTCGGAGTTATTATTTATTTCTTCATGTTTTATAGTTTAAAAAAATTTAATTTCTAGTTTTAAGTAAAATGTTCTCTTATTTCACTCGGTCTGGTTATATTTTTGTCAGTAATAATAATTGGTCCGTAATTTTGATCCCTTTTCGAAATTCGCACAATATTCAATAAATTAATGAAAATAAAAATGAAATTGACCAATTTTTTCTTGTTTTTAGATTTAATCTAACTGGGAATTAACGTATAGAAGAGAAATAAAAAGCAAACGACATCATGGCGTTCGCAGGACTTAAAAAACAGATCAACAAAGCAAATCAGGTATGTGTGTTTAAAAAAGATAGTTACACCCACTCATTTCCTATCTAACACACCCATAATATACTAAATGTGTCGTGTGTTTTATATATATAAATGAAAGACTATTAAATGTTTTGCATTTCTGTAACAAACTTGGCTAATAATTCAGCCTCTTATTTTACAAAGTAATAGGACAAACTTTTTGATATAAATGGTTCCCTAAAGTTAGTGAAAAATTAAACTCAGAGACGTGGGAATTATTATTTTTTTTTTTTTAATGGAGCCATTAATTGTGTTTTATTCTCCTTTTTTTGTATATATTGTATTTAAAGGGAACTTTTATCCCTAGTAATGAAGTATTTTATTATCTTCTTTCGTCTCTTTTATTTCCCATTTTAAGGACTTTTCCCCTCTTATCTTTTTTCTCTACGTCTCCGGTTTTTCTTTATCTTTTTTTTTAAATCAATTTTGTAAAGGCAGAAATCCGTTCAAGTTTTCTATATTAAAGTCGACTAATTTTAAAATTAATATAAATGAAATTTTCTACTGAATTAATTTATAATTTTTTTTTGTAACTTAATTTTTACTTCGGTAAACTTTTATTTTTTTCTAATTTCAGATTTTTAATCAGTCGATTGAAAAAAGACAGAATATTTTTAAATTATTGAAACTTTATGTATTTTTTGAATCGAAATAAATTTTTTTGTTCTGTTTTAGATTTAACTCTTAAAAATAGTAGAAATATTTAATAAAAAAAAATATCGTCACTTATTTCTAAAAAAAAGAAAGAAAGACTTTTTTTTGTAATGACGTGAATATTTTTTCGTTATTACTGACGTAATCAAATTGATTTTTCCCTCATTCAAATTTATATTCAGGTGAATGATAAAATAATGAAAAAGAATATTTTATTAGTGGGCTATTTAAGGCAACAAAAAAAAAAGCAGAAAAAAGAAGACGGTAAAGAATTCGTTTAGGGGCCAAATGGTATATTCTGCGCCTACACGTTTATCGATATATACGAGTTTCTATTGTCGAGTATCAGCGAGAAGAGTCCATAAACCTCTTTGACCTTTATGTATCTCGATTACTTTGATGAATGAAAGTGTTCACGGGAATCGTACAACCCTTTCTCCCACGTTTCACTTGTATATTACAATCTCATCTTGAAAATCATTTTATCGAGGTAAATATTTGCATTCAAGATAATTGCTTATTACATGAGTAATTGTCGTCTTTATCTTTCGTAAATTTGAAAATAAGAGAAAAATAAATATTATTTGCTCTTTTTTTCTAACTAATTTCAAATCATAATTTTAATATATTTTTTTTTTGTATTTTGTCTTCATTATCTTAAAAAATTACTAGCAAAAATTCGCGTGCGGATAACTTCTTACTTCCTTTTTTAAAATAAAATTAACAATTTTAAAAATAATACCTAGAATTAAAAAATTTTTTTTTACGAAAAATAATAACAAGAATAATAACTTGAATATTTCGAAATTAATTCGATTTTTTAAAGATAATAAAATTTAAAAATTTTTCTTCGCAAAAAATAATAACAATAATAATAACTTAAACGTTTCAAAATTCATTCAATTTTAAAAGAGTTTCGTTTACAATTTTCATAAATAAATAAACTTCAAACGTTTTCAATTTGAAATTTTCTAAAATTTCAATATTGAATGAATTTAATTAGAAATTATATTGAACTTAGATTTTTGAAAAATTTTAATAATATAATTCAAAATCTTCTGAAATTATAGTTAAATTTGTCAAATATATATTTAATTAATTATCAAAAATAATGGATTTATAGAAGAATTTTAGTTAAAAACATTTTTAAAAATTGAATTTTTGAGAAGTTACAAATGATTAGAGAAATTCAATTATCTTCAAAATTATAATAAAATATAAAACTCTTCGCAGAAATTCAATTTTAAAAACATTTTCGAAAATTTTTTTAAATTCTCGTTAAAATTTCAATTATCTTTATAAATAATAAAATTTTTCTCCGAAATTCAATTATTTTCAAAAATTTTCCTTAGTTTAATGATTTTCAATATCTAGTATTTTAATAAAATTATCCAAAAGAATTCAATTGTTTAAAAAAAATTTTGATAAACTTGTACGCAAACATTTAATTATTTTCATAAATAATAAAAATTTTACAGGAATTCAATTATTAAAAAATTTTTTAATAAACTTGTACGCAAACATTTGATTATTTTCATAAATAATAAAAATTTTACAGGAATTCAATTATTTAAAAAAAATGTTTATAAAATTCTACGCAAACATTTAATTATATTCTGTAAAATAATAAAAATTTTTTAGGAATTCAATTATTTTTTAAAATAATAAAATTCATAACAGATATTTACAGGGATTCAATTATTTTCGTAAACATTAAAATTTTTTTAGGAACTCAATTATTTTTATAAATAATAAAACTCATCGTAGAATTTCAATTATTTTTAATCCAATTTTAATCGAATTTCTCGAAAAATGTAATTATACTTACAAATTTTATTAAAATTCAGCCAAAAAATTTAATTATTTAAAAATTTATTGATAAAATTCTTAATGAGAATTGAATTTTAAGAAACATTCAATTATTATTCAATAAATTTTTTTTTTGTATTTGAATAATTAAATTCTACGAGAATTTTTTAATAAAAATTGCTTTCAAAATTAATTACAGTTTAAATTTTAGATAATAATTGAATATTAAAAGCAAATATGGCGTAAATTTTAAGAAATAATTGAATTTTGAAATTAATTTTTTTGTAAAAGTTATAAATTGCTGATTTTTTTTTGAAATTATTTAAATTTTTTTATTTTCTAATATATATTTAATTGAAGAATTTACGAATAATTAAAATATCTCGTCAATTTTAATTATCTTTAGAAATGTTAAAATACTTCTTCGAATTTTAATTATTTCCAAAACTTTAATACAGTTTTTGGCATTACTTTAAAAAATTTTCCTCCATTAAATGATTTTCAATATTTATTATTTTAACAAAATTTTTCTGAAGAATTTCACAGGAGTTCAATTATTTTTAATACAATTTTAATCCAATTCGTTGAAAAATGTAATTATTCTTTAAAATTTTTTTTAAAATTTTATTAAAATAAAAATTCGTCCAAAGAATTTAATTATTTAAAAAATTGTTGATAAAATTCTTTATGAGAATTAGATTTTACGAAACATTAAATTATTTAATAAATTATTTATTCTTTATTTAAATAATTAAATTCTCGTAGAATTTTCTAATAAAAATTGATTTTAAAATTAATTTCAGTTGAAATTCTAGATAATAATTGAATATCAAAATAATTTTTTTTTAATTTTCTAATTTCTTATATTGTTTTATTATAATTCATGAAAAAATACCTGCATATTTTGGATTTGTCAAACAATATATTTAAAAAATTAAATAAAAATGATATTTTTTAGAATTTCCAACCTAAAAATAATATTTGTTTTGAAAAAATGCTCTAAAAATAGTAAAAATCAATTTTTTCATTCGTCAATTTTGTTGTGAATACAAAAAATATATGCTCTACAAAATTATACGGATAGATTTTTAAATTCTGTCAATTTTTAAGAAAAATAAAAATTCAAAAAAGGGGAAAAATATTTTATGACTGATTTTATTTTCGGACCACAAAATATTTATAAAAATTATTTTTTATTAGGTATATAAAATTAGAAAATATAGTGTGTAAATTGAATAAACGCTATCTATTATTATTTTATTATGTTTTTTTATTTATATATATATATTTATATTTGTTTATATTTATTTTTATATTTATTTTACGTTCTTTATTTAAATCCTTGAATTTACTCTCTATTTTTTTTCCTTAATCGAGTGTAGTGCTTGAAATTTTTATTTTCCCTTGTAATAAATGTTGTAAAACTGATTATATTTCTATTTTTTTTCCCGTGGGCGTAACTCGTCGACATTTCAAAATAACGTGGTGAGAAATATTAGCGAATGATCGATAAGAATCCCAGAATATATTATAAGTAATTTTTTTTATTTCCCTTTAATTACAAACCCCATTTTTTTAATAAATGAATTACACAGTTCATGACTTAATAAAACGTATAAAAAAAGAAAAATTTTTAACCTAATTTCTAGGATAGAAAAAGAATTCCTATTCAAACAAGGATGATATAAAGAATTTTTTTTTTATTATACAAAATTATTTGGATTTAAATAGAAGCAAACGATTCTGAAGGTCGGAAATTTAGTTCCACTTTAGCTTTTATATAGATATATATATATATAGATATAGAGAGATTCTGCAGAATTTAATTAGCTCTTGTTCTTTTTTATAAAAGACGTTTTAAAAATAACATCTCTCATCTTTTACAACTTTGGCAAATATTATTAATTTATATCTTTATTCTATTTTAAATTTGTCGTTTTAAATCTCGTCACGAAGAGAGAAAAAAGAGAGTCAAACAATTATTGTTATTTTAAAAAGTGATAAATTTTTAAATAATAATCTTTTCGTAAATTTATTATTTTTCCATATATTTAAATGGAGAAAAGAGAACATAAATTATAATCCAATTAAAATTAATTAAATTTGTTAAATATTCGATTCAAGTTAATTTAATAATTCGATATTAAAATGATAATAATAATTTCTGCTAATTTTAATTAAATTGTTTCATACATAATGTTCGGAAATAAATTTAATTTCAAATGTGCAAATTTTCATAAATATTCTAAAGGGGTTGGGGGTGATATTTATGATTGAAAAAAAGGAATAATTTATTTTTTGAAAAAAATAACGAATGATGAATTGGAAAATTTATGTTTTTCGCTCTCTCTATTTTTCCCATTTATAAAACATTGCCGATTGGAATTATATTGTTATTGTAGTTTCCCTCAACCTGAAGTGCAATTGAGAAGGACCTCTTTTCTTTTTATAGAGAACCTTTTTCAGTCCAATCACACTTCAACTTCTATTTCGTGTATTATTGAACCTCCTCAGGG